AAGGTAAATCAGATTGTAGATTTAGAGTAAGTAATTTATATTGTATAGATCTGAATACATTAGTTACAAACTGTTTAATTAAAAATGAATATTGAAATGAACCCCTTAGAGAAATTACTTCAAGATAACTAAACTAACGTACAAATGAGTTTACCAACTATGGAATTGGACGATTTACTTCAAAAAGAATCCAATTAAGTTGAGAAAATGCAAGCAGGTTGCAAAAAACTAAATAAATACTAGATTGAGTAAAGAGATGAATAAAAAAAAGAGATAATCGAGTTTTGCTCTTTCGTTTCTTAAACTTCATTCATGTTAAAGTACAATTTTGTTAAAGCATCACTAGCTTAATAGCATTCAGTGTTCAAGTATATGTCGAAATTTGAGCGATGATATCTTTAGGTGAAGACTCGTTTAATGTGTACATAACTATAAAAATGTCAATCTGATTTAGCTTTGCAAGAAATATTTAACTATGATGTATACAGTAATTGTGAACTGTGTTGGCTTAAATACTGAACCTTAAGACTCAGTTCATATATCTACTTGGATAACCATTTTACTTGATTATTGATGAATTGGCACAATTCATTGTTATCAACTTTACTGAAATGTATAAAATATAACTTTTCATTGCAAATAACATTTTGTATGGTCTTCCATTGTTGCAATTCAAAATTAACTTTTGGCTCGTTTTTATTGTCTGATCTTCTGAATGAAAACCCATTATAGATCTTATATTTTAATTGATTTTTATCTTTATCATAGATACTGTCTCTACTTATTAAATCCAATGGATCTAATTTTGGAAAGTTGCAATGCATTGCAAACACAGGGGTTTCATTAGAATCAAGCGGATTATCTTTCATTAATTTTTCAATCATATCTATCTGCTCGTTGACTGGCTTGTTCCTATTTTCTTCTTTCATTATAGGTGCATAAAACTTCTCCTTGAAACGTTCATAATCTTTAAGAGGATTCTTTTGTCCCATTGCAACGCCTTGAAAGTTTCCGTTCTCAAAGTATCCGACAGTTTTGATGTGAGACTTTATTTGATAAAACTTTTGTTTCAAGACTGTTGCTGCGGTAGCAAATGTATCTTTGTCACCTTCACCTGGTGCTCCTAAAGAAAGTAATTTATAAAATTGATCGGGGCCGTAAATATTATAGTAAAGCGATAAAAGCAATGTCTTACCGTGGGTGGCTTTATTGATAAATAACTGACCAGATTCAGTAGATAAATCCGGTACAGCACCCTCTAAGTCATGATAAGGGACTGTATTGATTTCATTATCATTCAAGTTTGTATTAGACTTATCAACATTTAATGAAAATCGACTGGATCTGATTCTCTTTCTTTCGTTAATTTTAACGCCAGCTACATCATAAAAGATTGGAGACGTTGTACGTCTCCAATAGTCTGGCCACATGATCATACCATATTCTTTGAATAAATCACTTTCAAAAATCGAATCAGGATTTTGGATAAGAATATTGTCAGAATCCAATAATAAAATATTCTGGAATGAGGAAGTCATCAAAGCCAAAGACTTAAATTGGTATGATTTAAACTTTTTATTCCAAGAAAGCATAACAGACGATCCTAAACTATCTGGAACCACAACGCAAGCAGCATTTAATCGAGGAAGTATCACGGTACAAAATTCTACCTCATTTTCATAATCACTATACGTCGGCATCATAACTTCTACTGGAACTTCAGATCCTGTGGCACGTAAACCCAAAAGTGACAAATATGATAGCCATGAAAATCTTCCGCCTCCAACAAAAACAACTCCATTCGTATTTGGTTTGTAGGTAGCTTCTAAGTTTGATGGTAATTCATCTAAGACTAGTTTATGCTTCTTCTGGAATTCCTTTATCACTTCATCAGAAACATATGCTTTTGAAAGTAATACATCCTTGGTGTTTTGACCTTTCTTTTGTTTTGATTTTTCAATATACTGAATAGCTGAGGCCATTTGATCCTGCGGAATATCAGCCTTGCCTTTGTTTAAAATAGCGAATATTTTTTCCCAAAATTCATGTTCAGGACTTTCCTTATAATCTTGGACCTTTGGTTTTACGTCAAATCCCTGATGAGCTTCGTTAGTCTTTTGTGAACTAAAAGGTGAATATTTCTCTACTTTTGTAAGAGTCTCACTCAAGGATTTGTATTTATCTTTTGAAGCTTGTTGAGCAGTGAAAAAGAGTACTACTATTAAGAGTAATACACCAAAAAGCCTAAGCTTTCCTCTTGGTAACCTGGTAGGGAACATAAGGCTTTTTTAGAATAATAAAAATTAAGTAGTTATAACAATAATTAATACGATCGTATTTTATGGACGCTTGTTTTTTTTTTCTCCTTACGCGATGTTAAGGGATTTATTTATAGAACAAAGTTGAGATTTGAGACAAAGATTTAGAGTGGCGTTGAGCATGTCAAGCAACGGAATAGGTCTACAAACAGCAAGGGGTTCAGGCACGACTGGGCACATACAGAAGAACGTCGCCTCTAATCAGGACCATACTGATAATGCAAGTGATAAATCTGGGTACTTTAAGAGGCGACAATTGTCAAGGGATCGTAAGCTTAAATACGAGAAACATGTATCTACCAGTAATAATCGAGATGAGGCAAAACAAGAAATAAGAAGTCATGACTTGAAAAGAGATGTCGAAGTCAAGTGCATGGAGTTGAGAGATGCCTTAGAAGATGCAAGTGAGGAAGAGACTGAGATAGAGAAGAAAGTGAAAGAGCTAAGAGACAAATTACTAACTGCTCCCATGACTTCCAGAAAACTAGATCATAATAAGAACAGCTCTTCACATACAAGTTACGAAGAAAATTCCAAACTTAGTAATCTTAACGATGAATACGAAAGTTCAAAAAATGGCACAGAGGTTAGTGGTATTAGCTATAAACGTAGGTACACAGATTGCGATGAGAAGGGAAAAAGATTGAAAATACGAAGATAAATATGTATTTAAAAATAAACATTCTAATATAAGCGGTTAAAGTTCTTAATTGCTATGTACCATAGTGAGTTTTATCAGGATAACTTGTGCTCTTCGCTTTCAATAAGATCCGAGTCTTTATTCTCAAGTATATGTTGCTTGTCGTTATCCAGATCCAAATCTTTCAATTTGACTGAAAACGATACTGCCTCATCATGTTCTACTTCTTCAGATATTTTCTCTTCACTACTACCTTCAGAATCTTCTACATTACATACATCCTCTAAATTCTTTCGTTCATGTTCATTTCTTCCAGGTTTTTGAATTTCCTGATAGACACCATCATGACCTATCCTCAAAGGAGGTACCTCTTCCTCAGATTTTGTTGGACATATAGAGCTCGATAAAGGATCACTATCCATAATACCTTCTGAGCTATCCCTCGATTTCAGTATTTCTTGTGTATTTTCCAAATTCTTTGTTTCTGTACTATTATCTACTACAATGTCCTCTTTAGCCCCTTCATTGCTTGATTGAAAATCTAATTCCCATATTGTCAGAACAAAAGAGCTAAATCTAGAGGGAACTTCAACATTGACGGGATTTTTTAAGGATTTTGGTAACTTTTTACCTCTTGGTCCTCTGGTAATACCTTTTTTTACACTCTGGATTTTTACCTCTTTATTTGATGACAAAGCCTCTTCAGTATCCATCTTCTGTTGAAAATTAGGATTGAACATACCTGGCATAGCAATCCCTTTACCCATCATGCCTTGTAAACTTTGAGCAAATTTCATTTTATCAGTTGATAACCTTGATGGAACATCTTTATTATCTGGACTTTTTTCCTCTAAGTCTTGTTTTGAATGTTGCTTATTAGATTCGGAGTTTTTTGGAAATGCGTTTTCCTGATTGAACATTTGTTGAAATGCAGCAATCTTTGATGACAACTTCTTGGGCTTTGGAGGGGCTTTGGGCTTGGAATTAATTTTTTCTGGATGAAGAGTCTCAGATTTTTGAGAATCTTCATTAATAGACGAGGCAGATTTAGCTTCGTCACTAGAGATTTCAATCAGCTTTTGCTTTTGATCAATTGAATTCGGATTTTCAGAAGCATTTACTTCAAATAGCTCAAAATTAGATTCGTTAGTAGGGGCTTTCGATTTTTTTGGTCTTCTTGGTATGTGTGGAATATTACCCGAATATTTATCATCAGACGTTTTTTCATCGATCAATTTCGACATTTGAGATACTTCTTGATCTTTTCCTACTTTTTTTTCCGACTCCTCATTGCTGTTAGACTGATTTTCTACTTCATTAGATTTTTTCTCGTTACTTTCTGTAGTAAATTCATCAATTTTCTTGTTTTCACTCTCACAAGATTCTTCTCTGTTCAAATCAAGATTAACATCTTCAGTGAGGCTGCTTGCCCTATCAGTTTCACCTGAAGAATGGACATTACTTATATCATGCGCAAGGTCTGGTAATTCATTGTCGTCTCGTTCTTGCAGAACAGTTTTCAAATCATCATCAAAGCTATGTATGGAATTATCGTCAGTAACCTTAAGATCTTCTTTAATAGTAGTTTTAGTTTTAGTATTGCTCGGAGTCTTATCTCCCTCAGAGTCATCCAATTCAGATATATCTTTAACCTCAGAATTAAGTTCAGAGCTTTTAGATGGATCAATTGCATCATTAGAATGCATCCCTGAATTTATTGAAGCTTCATTTATGCTTTTGTTCGTTTCTGTTTCATTTTCCACTTCAGACGAATCCAATGAACTTAATGCCTCTACACCAGATGTGTCGGACCTCTGCGGTCTTTTAGGAATAACCGGTAAACTTGGGCTTCTTGATGAGGGCTTTGATCTTTCTGGTCTTTTTGGAATCACTGGAATCTTATCGCTTGGGTCTTCAGACTTCAACGACTCTATACTTGCCATTTGTTCGTTATTTGGTTCAGTTTCAAATCTATTAATACTTTCCAGATCCAGATCATTGGTTGAACCAGCCTGAGATTGCTTTTTTGGTCTCCTGGGAATAGATGGAGGTAACATTGAATCCAGCATACTTATTTAAAATTGATTACTTTGGGGTATAAATTAGCTTCAATTTCAGGAGAGAAAATAGTGCGCTATAAAAACAAGCGAGTTCAGTCAATTTCACAATTTCAAATGCTCTATCTTGACTACAGAAGTACTTAGAAAAATAGCTATTTCAAAGGAAGTATTATTTATTGAGTATTTATTCTTTATTATATTCAAAGCCAATCACCAATAACTGCATGTTAGCTAGTGGAAGTATGGATCAAAGTTAAGAGTAGTTTAATCTGAAGATGTCATTAAAAACATAGTAAGAGTTCCCATCAGGAATGAGGTGAAACACTTGAGAGTAACGCTGAGCGTTTTGTTCATCATCAATTATCAATTCCCCGGTAACCATAACTAAAATGTCACCATTTGGCGAACCAGGTTGAGCATCTAAAGTGGAAATTCTGTGTGCAACCTTTTGAAAAGGTAAAGAAACTAACTTTTCAACAATGTCTTTAGCGCCTTGTAATTGGGAAGTTTCAAAGGTTAACATAGATTGTTCTCTGTATAAATTACCCAATTGAGTTCTATCTGAATCGAATTGTTGGTAGTAAAAGTTACAGAACTCGGTAGCAACAGTGTTAAAATCAACTAAAGGATCCAGTTAGTGTTATGCCCAAAGTCATACCCTATAATACTTCTATTCAAGTATGTGATGGGTAAATTGAACCAAGATCTAAGATCTCAATTGCTGTATTCTAAAAACTATTATTGTAAATTTTAAATGATAAAGTTCAAATAAATACTTAGTTATATGACTTATCCGAATACATACCAGACATCTTGTTCGTTATATGCTATTGTAGTATTGTAAAACAAGTAGTAACCTTGTTATTTAGTTTTAATTCCTCAAGAATTTTCTACTTTCTGATGTACTCAAATTTACGCGTGGTTTAGTAAATGATATTAGAATTATATATGGGTGATATTTTAACTAATCTATTAGACCAATTCTGAATAGTCCTTCAATATGCCTTTCATGTGAGTATTTGTCACCTTACCTCTTCTTGCTTTCTTTTGTTTCTTTTCTTGTTGCTGAGGTTTTTTCTTGATTAATTGAGGATCAGCCCCAGTAGGTTTTAAACCTTGGTCTATTAATGCCTGGTACAAACTATCGGGTTCAGGCAACTTGACATTAGACCACATGTCACAAAACTCATCGTCAATTAAACCCATTTCGCCTCCAAGGTTAGCCCATACAAGTCTGGGAGTATTTTCCTTTTTATTTCTTAACACCAAAATTTTACTTTGTTCCTCCAATTCATTGATAGCCTGCAGACATCCCGCCCATCCGTCTTTTAATTCCTTAACAGATATACCTCTGAAAGTAGGCTGGGATCTCAAGAAATTCAACAAGTCATCAGAAGATCTAATATTGTGCAAAGAGACATATTCCAACGTATTATCTTCGGGATTAAATTTTATTCTATCAATCTCCTTCAATAATGGAAGCAATGTCCCACTTATGTCAAACGAAAGATAGTTCTGCAACTTGATAACGCTAATAGGAAAGTCATGCTGTTTAATATATTCAACCGCAAGATGTAATTGCGTTGATAAATGTGATCCCGACATACCTCCTGTAGATGCCTTTTGCCTTTTAATGGCTTCGGTAATCGTATCACTACCTGATCTTTTATTAGGGTTTCCATTAGAAACTCCGTTTCTATTACTATAGGCATTGCTAGGACTAGTATTGCTGGATAAATCATTTGATTTGGCAGGCGTAACTGCTCTTCTGGCCACGGTGACAGAAGGCCCGCTTCTGATTTTATTTTTAAAAGCAGATAGTTGAGCCGAAAGATCTGACATATTACGGCTCTTTAATCAAATAAAATATGATTCTATAGGAATAGCTTTATAATTATTTGTACCGTACATATATTTGTATGCCATTTTTGAATGAGATTAAATATCGTTACCCGGTTATGAGATTATTGGAATAAAAAAAAATTGTCAAAAAATCTTTTAAAAGTATAAAGTTTTCTTTTATGTGAAATTTTAAATAACACTTGTGTCGATAAGTTTAGCGTTAACGTATATTTACTCCGGTGAATGGGCTAACAGATATGAGGTGTATGTTTAAATTTTCTAGATGAAAACATCCAGCTTTAAAACCATTGCTATTCGAGGTTGCCGCTGATTTTAAATTAGGACAGGCTGACCCATGAAATAGTGATGACCTGATGTCTGGGACATATGATTATGGTATTGAATAAATACTGATATAATGTACATATAGAGTTGTAGTGTGATATACGTTATAGTGTAGCAAACACAAAGGAGGGATAGATATCTCAAGTAAGGTAATTTTCACCAATTCTACCTCTCCTTTGTCTTTCGCTTCTCATAAACTCATCGAAGGGACTGAGCAAATCATCATTAATAATTCTCTTGATTAACCTGCGACCCTCATTTTGATTTAGATCTATTAGTTTGGCCCATTCGAGATTCTTATACATGCCGGAGTCACGTAAGTCTATTACTAAGTCCCGTCCAACTATCTCTGAATCTGAACCTGATCTAACAGTTTCAGCATCGGAGAAGTATGATTCTTCCCATACGCATTTATTCACGATCTGATCTAAGAACCATTGGGCCGAAGTTTTAGTGAGCCAAATCATTGATGATAAGTTGAGGTACTTAAGGTTGCTTCCATATGGGCTATTCGAACTGCTATGTGCTTTAGCAATTGCATGAAGAATTTCAATTTCATTTAACCTTTTCAAATAATTATTATTAATGGACTTTAAATTCAAGTCACTCAAATACACTTTCCCATCCCCTTTATTCATATATGAAAGGTCATGAAGAGTTGATGGTAATGGAGGTAACAAACTATTATACTTAATAATTGGCTTCGAAAACGCAACGGAATAAACAGATGAAGCCGATGATGTAATGTTTTGCTTCGATTGTTGCAACAGTTGCGATTTGGCATCATTTACGTTCAAGATAGATAAAGATGTGAAATATTCTTTCTCTTGATTGAATCCAAGTAACGATTCTTCATTTGATCTATTTTCATAGCTCATAATTCCATCAATAGTAGCCGCTATATTCTTTGGATAATTGTTGATGAGATCGAAGGTCCTGTACTTATACATCATTGATCGACTAATTTCATAATCGGTAGAAAGAGATAAATTCCCTAGGTTCAATGATATAATATTTGGACATAATGAAATCAAATGGAGAATATAGCCAATCGGTAGATCCTTTGATGCAGAATAGTTCATCAAAAACTTATTTATTTGGGGATGTGAATTATTCCTACGATTTCCTAGATTCAAAGTTTGCAAAGGGGGGTGTGCCCCATTTTTATTCAGGGAATTATTGAGCTTTTGACGCTTTTTAGGCTTGAAATAGTTAAATGTTTTGGAGAGCTTCAACATTTTTATTGAGTTTGTTGTCTTGGATGATTTAGACAGGGCCTGTGAATTGGTGTTAACCTTTGTCAAGTTCAAGCACGGTTGCATGGAATATAAAGGGTTATTTTTGTATTTCCAGTCTCTCCAGCCAGCTAAAATCTTAGCACCTGAATCTAAGGTGTCATTATCACCTTGTGATGTATTGGAGTGTGTTTGTTCTAACCCCCTGTTTTCATCTTCATAGTCTTCTGGTTCTCCATGCTTGATTTGCGACAAATCAACGGCTTTGATGTATTGCCCCACTTCGGAATTCACTCTTAGATAAGTAATAAACTGTGCAAAACGATATGTCGAGGTGAAGGATAAGTTCTCATAGAGCAAGGGTTTTGCGATCTGGTAGAACTGCTTGCAAACCAACATACAGTTTACGTAGGCCTCTTCTGAATCAACCAACTCAAAAATATATTCCAACACTTCGCCTGGCAAACTCTTCACATCGATAGGGGTCTGTTTTGCATTGGTAGTTGACCCTATGCGTAATGATAATATTGAAGTTCTTTTGCTAACATCACTTAGTAAAGATTTATACTTCATCTTAATCTTGGATGTGGCAGTCGGTTTGCCTCCCGAATTCATTGATTTGAGTGCCCGAAGATCATATTCCTTAATGGGAACCAATGTATGCGTTTTGTAGTCATACCTTGCATTAGGGGTTAGTAACGATCTATAGGGTGGTAAATACGAATGAAAATCAATCGATTCAGTCTTAATCATTAATCAATTGAACCCTAGATGAACTCTCCCTTCATACTTTCCTTCAAAAAGGCTATCTAGTTATTTTATCGCTATACTAATTGCTAGAAATCCTGCACACAAACGATAGATAGCCCGCATAAGTTGATTATCATCACTAATGTGCCATATGGCTTATATAATGAACCAAAACACTCCAAAAGACCACACGACGCCTCGGCCACCTCAGACAAATATGAACATGGCACCCACCAGCCCTTGGCCCCACCAACTACGACAATATTACTGGCAGATTCTTATACATCTTCCTACATATACTCATCTGTTTTAGAGTATTCCGGTATCTATCTCTAGGCTATATTTTCTTGACATGTTCATGCCTAACCGTGTCTAGTCACACGTCTTTGAGTTGTTTAGCTTTACTTGCGCTTCTCGTGTGCCTGGATTGACTACGATCCCTATTGCCTACAAGCACATCCGAAACGTCATCTGGGGGTAATATGCGGTGGTCAATATACGCTGGAGCAAAAGTGAAAGTGGGGTATCACGTGTATGATACCCCATACCCAAGAGATAGTTACACCATGCACCCCTAAACCTAGATCCACATTGCCACGTATGGGACATGAAAGTCCGCCTTAAATTCTGCGATCATTCCCAAAGGGGATATCATGCTGTATAGCCGTCTACGTAATAAGGTTACACAAACCACATTTGCGAGTATAGTCTACGCTTCGTATACGAGATGGAGTTACATAAGCCATTATTCAACCTTCCGTATATGAAGTAAGACTCTTTGTGACTAAAGGGCTGGGTGGGAAGATGCGGTGTAATAAACTGAGCACCAGAAGGCTTACACCAGATTAGAAAGAATTGCCAAACTTTATACGTCGATTTAAGGTATATGGTTCTAGTGAAGAACAACGGTGCATATAAAGTCTATATATATCTGCATTAAGCTTTACAGTTGGATTATAAGCTAGTGGAATAAAATAACTAATCACCCTGCAGAAATTTTAATTTTAATTTTAATTTAAGTTTAAAATAGTTCGAGTTTCCCCTGTAAAAATAATCGGGTGGCACTTTCACAAAGAGTGGAAAAAATATACGTGGTACAGTTAATTGACACACTGGTAAGATCACTATAAGTTCAAAGTCCTTGACAACGAAATACTTCCAGAACTGAGTTTATTTGTGGATAGTTTAATAAGGATAACAGAATTTACGAACTACTGGTTATTGTTCTTTGGGAATTGAGATCCAAGTGAACAATTAGTAGCTTATCATTCATATATAATTGCGGTCCAATTTTAGGACGAATCTGCGAGTCTAGTTGTGGAAGCGCTGTAAGTGATAAGCACGCTTTGTTAATATAACAATTCCAAACAAATTTGGACGATAAAATAGCCCGGTTTTTCAAAATTTTTAGTTGAGTACGCCAAAGTTCAAAATGTCAAGCTCGTCTACACCTGGGACGTCTAAGCTCAGCCCATCGTACTATGTAATGAGATATTTATTGAGAAGTCAGAAAAATTGAGAAAATATACAATCTGGCTGCGAAAATAAGTATCTATTAAGAAACTACAATACTTACAAAATGCCTTACACTATAACAATGTTTGCCTTACGATTGTTCTAGTGTACCACGAGCTATCA